CGCCTCTCCAAAACCCCGGCCGAACCCTCACCACCATCACCACCACCACCACCACCAGCGCCCCTCTCCAAAGCCGAGCGTCGCGCGAAACACCTAGAGGAGCAGCGCAGGTTATGGGAGTCAGCGTACGTCCCTCAAGACCCAAACCATTCCCCCATCACTAACACCATATAGTGAAGCCCCAGAACCAACCCCCTACCTCCCCATCACAAACCCAATCCCCCTCTCCACCCCCTTCAAACCCCCCATCCAGCTCCTCTCCCGCCGCCCAATCCCCCAGAAAACCCTCGTCCGCGATCCAGCCACCGGTCTCGAACAACTCACCATCACCCAACCCGACGACTTCGACGACGAAGACCCCGACACGGCCGCCCAAAAGCCCGAAAATCCCCAAGAGCGCAAGGAGCGCCAGAGGAGAGAACTAGAGGAAAAGCAGCGCCGGTATCAAGAACAAAGAGCAAAGATCTTTGGGGACTCAAACCCTTCCTCTGGGCAGTCATCCCCAGGGACGGTGACGCCCCCGCAGGCCGGGAATGATGGTAGGGGAGGAGGACATAGAGGACGGGGTGGTGGTGGGAGGGGCAGGGGGAGGGAAGGGAACGGGAGGGGCAGCAACAATGGGCGGAATACCAACCGGCAACCTCAGCAGCAGACAACTGAACCACCGTCGAGGGAGCTCTTCGACGCGGAATACTCCCCCAAACCACCCAACCGACGAGGCGGCGGCCCCTCCTCCTCTCAACAGCCCAGCCGCTCTCACACACCGCGTGAAGAAGACCAAATCACCCGCCAACCGAGAGGTCCAGACGGCAGCGGAAGAGGAGGTTTCGGTTTCGCCAAGCGAGGCGCAACCAACGGCTGATCTTTCCATTCTTTCATGACTAGAATGCATTGACGCTACACGGTATCATTCTATATGATCTGTATCCCAAAAACAGAAAATGTCTCCAACTACCGCTGTACAAGATACCAGTGTACTACTCTACCAACCACCACCAATCTTCCCCGCCAACTGAACCACCCGTTCAGTGTCAGTCTGCGTCTTTCCCACATCACTAACCACCTCCCGAAAGGTGGTATACGCCAACTTCTCCACCGGCACCGACGTCAGCTCCGACCACACCCTCAGCACATCCCGAACATAACCGGGTGATATCCCAGCCACCACGAGGCCATCATCTGTCCTTTCAGATGATGATGTCTCCTCATCATCACCAGAAAAGTACGCCTCATCCACCACCTCCAACCAAGCCTTTTGCTCCTGCGGCCCAGGTTTGTTTTCGGTCCCACCAAAACCCATCCTCTCGAGGACAATCGGGTCGTCCACCTTGAGCTGTCCACCACCGTTGGTGCAACCCCCCGGACACGCCATCACCTCGACATAGGAGAAATCCAGCGCGTTGGTGGCTCCCGCGGCCTTTCCAGGTCGTCGAGCTGAACCAAACGGTTTTCCTCCAGGCATGCGGGGGGGTCTGGCGGGCTTGAGCTTCCGAACGAGGTTTTGGATGTTGCGGAAGCCGTAGTAGCGGGCGGCTTTGAAGATTTGTTCCCCCGAGGAGGAGAGAATCGAGTACTCTATTACGTCGGCGTTGCGGCCTCGGGTGGTGGTCAAAGTTGAACCGGGGTTTTGGGAGAGGAGGGTGTGGAGGATGTAATGAAGATTTCCACCGGAGGTGCCCGCAGAAAGGGATTGCTGTTCGTTTTTCTTCCCCGGGGCGGAAAAAGGCAAAAGGAAATCGCCCATGGCTTTGTGAGGGAAGGGCGTGGTCTGGGGGAGGGGGGTTGTAGGTAGAGAGAAGAAATTGATGTTGCGTGATTCGGCGAGCATGAGGATTTCTTTGGTGGTGATTACGCAGTCGACGTCTCTGATTCCTTTTTGAGTTGCGGTTGTGGCTGGGTTGTTGGAGGTGTTGTTCCAGACGGCATCGGTGAGCTCTTCCCGGCTGGCCTCGAGCTTCTTGTCGAAGCAGGGCATTATGGAGAGGTGCCATATCCTGTCTGGGGAGATGTTGAGGGTTTTGGAGAGGGTTGTTTTGAGGAGGGTGCCGGTGAGGGCCTGGGGGGATTTGACTTTTGAGAGGTAGGGGAGGACGTAGGGGTGGGTCTTTTCGGCGTAGCAGACCCAGCCTGGGCAGCTGGAGGTTAGGACTGGTTTTTTGATGTCGTTGGAGGAGGAGGAGATGACTTCGTCGGCGCCTAGGACTAGGGAGGCTTCGCGGGCGCGGTTGGTGGGGACGATGTAGGTGAAGCCGTTGTTGTGTCTGCCGCCTGAGGGGAGGCCGAGGGAGGGGTTGGAGAGGAGGTGGGTGATCATGTTTGCTGCCTGGGATTGGGTGGTGTTGTTTCCTATCGCGGCGGCGAGGGAGGCGAGGACTTGGGGGGATACAGAGCAGACGAAGAGTTTGGAGGAGGGGTTTCCGTCGAGGTTGGTGGTTATGGTGGTGCCATCTTGGGAGAGGGCGAGGCTGGGGGCTGAGTCCAGCAGGGAGAGGACTTCATTGTGGGATTGGAGGGAGACGAGGACGGCTTCGGCCGAGGTTACGCAGCCTGAGCAGGCTAGGCAGTCGGTGAGGGATATTTGCGCCGGGCCTGCGGGTTGTGAGGCAGAGGGTTGCTGACCGTCGAGGATGACTTCGAATTCGAGAGATTCGGAAGCTTGTGGTGGTGGCGCGGTGGGAAGGGTTTCGATCGGTTTTATACAAGCGACGCCGGGGGATATGAAATCGTTCAGATCGTCGGCAGAGAGGATGGCTGACATTGTGACGGCCGGCTGTGGAAGTTAAAAAGAGCTCAGACTCGAGGTGTGGTTGTCGAGGGGCCGATCGATGGAGGGGCTGTTTACCCCACGATCAGATGTCAAAGGTGTCGTCGTGAATAGATCTTGTCGCAAGCAATGCCTCCAGTTGACTTCAGTGTAGCTCCAGTATAGGTTGGAAAGAAAGAGAGCTGAGTCTAAAAGAAGACAGCGAACACCCAGAGCCAAGATAATCCCCAAGTTCCTATCTCAAGCCCACTCCCGGAGATGCACAATTTGTAAATTCAGTGACTCTTTTGCTTTGAAATGCGCTTGCTCCAAACCAAAACTGCGAAAATGCGACATCGGCTCCCCCGGTGGCGGTTGAGCGGGCGCCCCGCTACCCGCCAGGAGCCCCGCCCGTCTCCTCGGCGTCGCGCACTGTGCCAATCACTGGGGTGCCATTGCGATATGACGTAGCGGGGATACAAGGGTACTTACACACATTATGTAGAGCTTCAACACCACGATACAAGGAACTCACTTTCACAGTCTAATTCTCACATACAATTCTTTTGTTCTGAAACCATTTGGAAGAACGGCCAAAATGGACACCTCACCCTCCGAAATGGACGTAAGTTCCCTACTCACCAAACCCCCCCTACAATTATAATCCATCACACAAACTAACCCAATGCTCACCAAGTCAACCACCTTCCTCCACCTCACCACTCTCCTCTACCTCCTCCTCCAATCCCTCCCCCTCCTCCTCTGGCCCTCTCTAACAACAACCCTTCTCACGCCCCCAAACTACTACCCCCCCTCCTCTTCCGATCTCGTCTCAACCTACCTCGCCCGCACCCTCGCCCTAACAAACCTAACCCTCGCCGCCCTCCTCCTCGCCCTCTCCGGCCTCCTCCCCTTGAGCCCTTCCCCATCCCCTTACTCCTCCGCCGCAGTCCTCATCACAACACTATACCACTCCGCCACGGGGGTATACTCCTACACCCGGTACACCACCCCCCGCACCTCCCAACCGATCCACCTCTTGGGCTGTCTAGCAAGCAGTTTCCTCGCTTGCGTAGGGCTCTACGTCCTCCTATTCGGAGATGGGAAAAGACTGAGCAGGCGGACCGGGGCGGATAAGGCTACTAGCGGGTGGCCTTTCAGGAATAAAGAGGCGGATAGGAAGAAGAAGAAGAAGTCGGGTTGAGGCCTCAGGATGAGGACGAGGAAAGGGGTTGGACATTGGACATAGAAAAAAAAACCTTGTGTGTGTGTGTGTGTGTGTGTGTGTGTCATAAGAGGTGTAAAATGGCATGTTTTGTGGTTATAGTCTATAATGCTCTCGCATGTCATGGACAGAAGAAAATAGAGATAATGCCACGGGGAAATAGGTACCTTCAAAGATAGGTAGCCAGCCCACGGGTTTTTTGAAAAGTAATTATTTAAACCTGCAAAGAAAATTAAGCAGGCCTTTGAGGATTGTTAGCAGGCATAGGATAGTTAATAGCTAGACCTTCAAACACTCAACACACACACGCACTCAAAAAGATAGTCAATGGGCCTTGAAAGATAGCAAACAGGCGCTAAATATGCATTGATATGCCTCTTAAGAGATGCCCAAGAAGCATTTGATTTTATCTTGTCAAGTGACTCTACCTACAACGCTTGTCCCGGACCACATTTCCCATCCCCAGTCGAACCGTCAGGCGGGGTACGAAACATTGTGCCGCTTCTCGAGATGAATCCAAAGGTAATCCATAGTTTTGATCGCCTCCTCAGACCGGGGGCAAGTTTTCACCGGACAAGTAACAGACTGTGAAATAGGATTGCCGCCTGCATCTTTGGACTTGTGCACCCAAGAGTAGTGACTATGGAGACCTCGATAACTGATGTAAGGCGTTTCAGACCTCTCACAGTTCTTGAATCGACATACGTAAGGCGCGGCGAAAAAAGGTATGCGCAGCTTCAAACAGACGACTTCAGCCTCAGCAGTGTTTTCAGCGGTGGCCAAATACGTCTCGCTGACATCGCAGGATCGAAAAGTCAAATGTACATATTGATTTGAGGCGTTGTTGGAAGAAGGGGATTGATCCGAAGCATTGTCGGAAGAAGGGGGTCCTTGGATATCCAAAGGTACAGAAGACGCGTCCAAAAGCTGATCTTGAGCGCCCGTAGACTAGTTTTGCGCATCCTCGACAGAATTTGCGGCGGCTTCAGGAGCCGTCAACACCACGTCCGCCTCTCCCGACAACACTGCCTGTTTACGAGCAAACCAGTCCTTCTCGCTCCGTATGACCTGCTCCAGAAGAACCTCCTTCTCCAGCCACTCCTGTTTGTAAAGTTCACCGACTTCCTTGAGCTCAGCCTCGAGCCGCTTCCCTTCTTCCTCGGCCCACTTTAGCTGAAGTTTAGTTAGCTGGAATAGCTTCTCACGTGGCATAGCAATCTCCTCGGGACTAAACAGCTCTTCGTCCAAGGGTGTGAGCATGTCCTCGGAGTCTTCGTAGGGAACATCGCTGTCATCTACCGCGTCATCCTGGCCGGCAGCGTGCGATTGTGGTGTCTTGAGAATGATACGGAGGTTCTTGCTCGACTTGCCCGTGGTTTGGTGGGCCTTCGAGACGGGATCTGAGGGTCGGAGGTCTTCTGTCTGGTGGACTGTTCGCATGTGCTTGGCCAGGGCGTCGGAGCGGGTGAAGGCGCGATCACACTCTGGGAGGCAGTAGTTAGTACCAATCATCACGATGCAGAGCAGCTGTTTTGCAGAGCCTACCTGGAAGATAGCAGTAAAATGGCTTTTCCCTGGTGTGACTTCGCATGTGAGCTTTGAGAGCGTAACCACTGGCATGGGCCATTCCCTTCCTAGTACATCCAATCCATTCACAGGTATACTTCTTTGCTCGAGTCTCGATATGATCGCTGTGGATGTGTTCGACCAGATTGTCCATGTTGCCCTGGTCGCCAGCCTTGCAGCCCTCCCAATGGCAGATGGTGACCTGTTCCGCATACTCTTCCTCCTCTTGGCGCGCATTGATGGGCGAGTTTGGCACGTCGCCATCGGTGTCGGAGGAGACTTGCGATACAGTATCAATGTCTGGGTCGACGCTGGCCTCCTTGTGAAATGCTGGCGAGGCTACCGAGCCAGTGGCCGTCTTGAGCCGTTTGGTTGGTGGTGCGTCCTCCATGATGTCTTCGGGGGCGTCGCGATCTGGAAACTCGTTGTCGGTGGAATCCATGGAAGAGAGGGGAGAGCCCGAGTCGTCGTCGATCGGGCTGCTCAATCGCGCCATTTTTATCGGCTCTGTGGCAAGGCAAGAGCGAGTTGGGATATTGATGGATCGGACGATAGGTAGATTGGTTGTTGTGGGTGCGGTTTGATTATGGTCGTGTTGAGATGGATATGGATGAAGTATACCCTGGTGTTCTGTGCTCCCTTTTATAAGTTAATTCTCAGCAATATAAGCTCATCCGCGTCGCAGTCTAATGATACGTGGCGTTGGCTCTGCTGAAGGATATTAAAAAGTGAAGAGAATTGTTGAAAAGTCAGAATTATTAGGTTTGGGGGAACAATCGTGGACGGCGCAAAACATTCAATGGACGGCAGGATGCTGGTTGAGTGCCAGCACCCGTGCTCTGCTCTGCTCTGCCTGCCGCAGCAGCAGGAGCGTGTCTGCCGCCGATCAGCAACAGTGACATGCAAGTCGCAGGGGCGGGGACGGTGACGGGAATGACATGAGCTCCCGGCAGCCGGCTGACAGCTGGTCACTCAAGGCCACCTCCCAGGCACACGGTGCGCACGCAACAGATGGTTGCCACTGGCACTGCTTGGTTGGCGCCCAAAACAATCTGGAACGCAGGGACTTTTCTCAGCTTGTTTACCCCTCTGCCCCTCCCCCACCATCGCTGTTTTTATATGTACCAACCCAAAGCAAAGACTCGCTCCTGCAGCCATCCACCACCTAGATACGCGTGCCCTTACGACTTACCCGACATAGAGCCAAACCTTGCACCTCTTGCAATAGCCTACCACCTCAAGTTCACGTTCTTCATTCTTTGCTCTTCATCGTCAGATTCAGGATTCAATATACAAACATGGCCCCCACCACCAAGGTCTTCTCCCTCGAGGGGAAAGGTCTGAAGCTGGACACGGCCGAGGACCTGGAGCCCCATATCGCCGAGCTTCGCGCCATGGAAGATGTCGAGGAGGTCCATCTGCTTGGTAACACACTCGGTGTCGGCGCATGCAAACTGCTTGGAGAGGTGCTTGCGACCAAGAAAACATTGCGCGTATGTCTCCTTCTTCCACCTCCTTTGTTGCTTACTCGCCAGCCCCAGGTGACTGAACTAACCACTCGCGACTCAGGTTGCCAACCTCGCCGATATCTTCACCGGTCGCCTTCTCAACGAAATCCCAGAGGCCCTTTCCTCCCTCCTTACCTCCATCCTGAACCTCCCCAAGCTCAACACCATCAACCTCAACGACAACGCTTTTGGCCTCAACACACAAGCGCCACTCGTCGCCTTCCTCGCCGCACACGTCCCCTTGCAGCACCTCTACCTCAACAACAACGGCCTGGGCCCCCACGCCGGTATCCTGATCGCCGATGCGCTCTCGGAGCTCCACGCAAAGAAGGAGGAGGCGCGCAAGCAAGGACAAGATGTGCCCGACCTCGAGACAGTCATCTGCGGTCGCAACCGGTTGGAAAACGGCAGCATGACCGCCTGGGCCAAGACTTTCAGCCTGCACAACAAGGTCAAGGAAATCAAGATGGTTCAGAACGGCATTAGGCAAGAGGGTATTTCGTATCTGCTTAGCGAGGGTCTGCGTCACACTTCGGAGCTCAGAGTGCTGGACCTCCAGGACAACACATTCACCTTGAAGGGCGCCAAGGCTCTGGCCAAGGTTGCGCCCGGCTGGACTGAGCTTCTCGAGTTGGGCGTCGGCGACTCTCTTCTCAGTGCCAAGGGCAGTGTGCTTTTGGGCGAGTCCCTCGCTCAGGGCAAGAATAGGAACCTCGAGATTCTGCGCCTGCAGTACAACGACATCACCGCCGCTGGTCTCAAGAGCCTTGCCGAGGCTGCGAAGGAGGCTCTCCCCGCGCTCAAGAAGATTGAGCTCAACGGCAACAAGTTCACCGAGGACGACGAGTCGGTTATCCTCCTGCAGGAGCTGTTGGAGGAGCGCAAGGAGAAGTTTGGCGGCGACATTGTCGTTGAGGACGACTGGGGTCTTGACAGCCTGAGCGATCTCGAGGAGCTGGATTCTGATGAGGAGGAAGAAGAGGAGGAAGAGGAAGAGGAGGTTGAGGAGCGGGCCGAGAAGCTCATCAAGGAGGCCGAGGAGGCTCAGGAGGAGCCAGTCGTCCAGCTCAAGGACAAGGAGGTGGACGAGTTGGCGAGCAAGCTCTCCAAGGCTACGATCTAGGCCTGGGGGGGTAATAAACAAAAACAAAAACAAAACAGAAAGAAATAAAGGAGTATTGACCTCTAGACGAGGTGCTGTTTTTGCCCATGATTTACCACGATACCCGAAGAGGAGAAGATTGTTGGTCTTGACAAATGGGAGGCAATTGGGATGGTTTGTTACACTAGAATTGAAGCGTTTGTTCTTGTCTGGCAGTACTGTCTGAGGGTAGAGTTTAGGTATACAATACAAACCCCTTTATTGAATGGATTCTTTATTGGGTGGGGATTGGGTGTCCCAGATGAGATACTGGCTGGATGCCTGTTGATGGTGTTTGGACCTCCTGGTCTCATGATGCAAAACATCATGCCCATAACCAAAACCGTGCACCGAGAATGACAGGAGACATACGAAAGTCTTATCGTCTATGTGTGTGTGTGTGCCGGCAGGTTTGAAATGTGCTGCTTTTTGGATGGAGTGATCGTGGTTCGAGTCGGTGGTGGTGTGCCGGTCAGATGCGCAGTCATACCACCAATGTAGTCTGAGCCTCCCAGCGACATTTTGGGAGGGTGAATGAATCCTTCGTTGATAAATACCCCCAAGGCAATTTTTTTTCTCGTTTGCGGCTGGGGGCTTCGGTCAAGCAAAAAGAACAATTTATTGGATTAGGCATTATTGTCGAGTATTATTTATCACTGCTGTCGTCGACAAGACTGACAGCTTTACCTACACAACACCACTTATACACACGCCTACCTTGCACAACATTATCGCAAGAAACCACCACACAATCTTGAGCATACGACATATCACTGCTTCTCTACAACACCTACCTTGAGCACACCAAACCATCGCTCTCAGTCCAATCACACACAACAAATCAACTTTGAACAAACCACGCATCTGCTCTACACTTCTCAACAACCTACCTCGAGCACACCAAACCACTGCTCGCAACAACCTCTACTGAGCACAACCATCCTGCTCCTTTACCACCATGAAACCGACAACCAAACACCACCCCATCCTCCACTTCGAACCCCTCTCCGACTCCCCCATCCCCATCCTCTGGGACCTCCTCCTCGCCTGTTACGCTATCCGCCTCACCCTCCTCTACGCCCTCCTAACCCTCCTTTCCCACCTCATCCTCTCCCCCCTCCCCTCCTCCCCCATCACAACCCTCGTATCAGCAGCCCTCTGGACACGCTACCTCACCCACCGGTTCCAAGTCCCCCCCGCAATTGGCTTCAGGGCCGCAGTTGGCCTCCTAGCAGGAATGATAATCTTCCTAATGGAGGAACTGCTCTCCGGGTTGGAGTACGAGATGGGATATGGGGGGTTAAAGGGTCTCGGGGGGTGGGTCATGGCTGGGGTTATCTCCATGCCTGTAATCATGGGGTTGGGCGAAGAGGGTAAAGAACGGTGGGGGAGGTGGGAAGGAAAGGGGTTGGAGTTCGGGATGAGTTATTAGCATACAAGAGATAGGGGGATTAACGAATTATGATTTAATAATAAAAAAGTAGTTTGGCGAGAGAGTGAAGAAAGATGGTGTGAGTGAGTGAGTGACAGGTGATGATAGATGGGAGATTCCATGTGGCAGGGTTACACTGCAACTGCCAAAGTCTGGGGTTGGGGTTGGGGTTATCTCCCTTGTTCAACCACCATCTACCCCTCGAAACCTTGATCTTATGATTGGTGTTGGCTATGAAACAGCAAATTCTCTATTACCAACTACCAAGAAACAAAAATCACCAAAGCCACCCTAGAAATACGCCTCGCTCAATGCCTTTTTGCAGCTGTGCCCTTATGATACACATGATTCAATCCCTTCCATACTTCACCTATATCACCCTAATGATATTCTTTCAAACCTGGGACTACCAGTCCCTCGCGAGTCAATGACCAACCCCCCCTGCCCCCCATCCCCCAAACCCCGGCTGCCCAAGCTGAGGAAATGGTGCTTGGGCCGCACCCGCAAGTGGCGGTTGTTGTTGCGGTTGAATGTTCCCACCCTCCTGCTCTCTCCGCCTCGCCTCCTCCTGCCTCTGCTGTCTCTGCGCCCGGTAAAACAACAAGAACGCCAGTGAAACAACCAAGCCCATGATGATCAAGCTATCTAGCACACCATCCTCGTCAAAGTCTGGCCCATCACCCCCGGGCATCTGACCGGCACTGGTCTGACCGGCGGCGGCCTCATCATAGTACTCGTCCGAGTAATAGTCATCATACAACTGCCCCGCTGCATTCTCCTCTTGGAGGAAGTTGTTGATCCACTCACGGAGTGACCAGTGCTTCTTCTCGACTGTATCACAGCATGTTAGCTTTGGATGTTCAAACGATAGTAAAAGAAAAAGGTAGTCCATACCTGGCTCATCCCTGATGCTGTTGATCGCCCCGTTAGTGAACGTATTCCACGCACTCTTCGCCCTCAACTTCAACAAGCTCAACGACACCGGCAAATACGCCTCCTCATTGATCTCATACGCTGCGTCGTAGTGTCTCTTGGCCAAGTGGTAGTCCTGCTGGAGACCGACCCCGTGCTCGTGCATCCAGCCCAGGTTGTACATGGCTTGCGCGCTCTGCTGGTATTCCGACGCGCCCTGGTAGCACTGCAGGGCCTTATCCACATCTGGCTCTGCCCCGATCCCATGAAGATAGTAATCCCCCATCTTGACCAGAGAATCAATATTGCCCTGGCGGGCGGAGCGAGTCCAGTACGTCAGGGCGAGACGGGGGTTTCGAAGAAGGGGCGACTTGACAGCCCTACGGTAAAGCCACTGTGGGATCTCCAGGAGTGATTGCTCAGGGTCGAGCATAAATGCAACGTTGTTCTGTGCCTTTTCATAGCCCTGCTCAGCGGCGCCAAGATACTCAAGCAGAGCAAGTTCTTCGTCGCCGTCGTCATAGGCCAGGTTAGCCTCGGCCCAGGAGGACACAAAAGGCTCAGCCCTTTCAGACACGCTCTTGAAATAACCCAACGCAGCGCTGCACGACTTCTCACGGCCAACCCCAAGAAGGTTGAGCTCGCCGAGATAGTAATATGACTCGATGCTGGCCCACCGGGCAGCAAGTTCAAAGTAGTGGTTGGCCGCCGCCAGGTCATCGGTACCGCCTTGGTCAAGATGAAGAGCACCTAGCGCCACTTCGGCATAGGGGTAGTCCTGCATCGCGGCCGCCTTGAAGTATTCCGTAGCTTTGGGGACGTCCACAGGCACTCCATATCCATTGAGGTATAGCAGGCCGAGACTGTACTGTGACTGGGAGTCCTTGAGATAAGAGCCCCGTTCGAACCAGTACTTGGCTCGGATGAAGTTCTGGTCAACGCCCTCTCCACGCATATACATACGTCCAATGTATCCAGCCGCCTTGGCTGCATACTTATCGAGCCCAGGTTTGGGATTCTGGACTTGTTGGCCCTTAACCCAGTATTGCTGCGCAACCTCATAGAAATACCTCTTTGCCTCGGCCAAGTTGATCTCGTGGCCTCTCTGCCCCTCGTAGTAGATTCTACCCAGGTTGAACGATGCTTTAAAGTCGCCCTTTTCGGACATCAGGTTGAGATACTCAATGATATCCTCGATCGAAGCATAAGAGTCGGGCGACTTCTGGACACTTTCCCTTCCGGCACTGTACGCGCTGGCGCCTTCGCCATACACTCCTCCAAGTTCGTCGGCAATCCTGTGTGCTTCATCGACCCAGCGCATCCCGCCCGGCGGTCCTGACCGATACCACGCAATGACCTTGTCGGCAACCTGTTTGTAGTACTTGACAGCGACGTCACAGTTCTTCGGTGTCCCAATGCCTGCGTGGTGTCGATAAGCCAGTGACATTTGCGCTCTCGTGTGACCCCTATTCGCAGCGAACGTGTAGTACAGGAGTGCCCGGGCCTGGTCTGCCTCCACAGCACCACCAATTCCAGTCGAATACATGAGCCCCATCATGTACAAGGCCGAGTTGTTCCCATTGAGCAGTGCCAGCTTGTGGTAGTTGTCGAAGGCCTCCTTAAAGTTCCTTGGGTGTGAAAAGTTGCCATAGAAGTTCATCTCGGCCAGAATGTACAGGGCGTCCGAGTTGTTCTGTCGTGCAGCTTCATTGAGGAGTTTGGATGCATGTAGGAGCGGTCCGCTGAGACTCGGGGTGGGTTGCGACGTCTCGGCCGGGGGTGCGGTGAGCCGCAGTGTTGGGACGGCTTTGAGAGCGAAGTTCAGGATCAAGCTGACAACGCCCTGGTGTCTCTTTGCTTTGTGATGTAATGGCTGGTATAGCTTTCGTAGTTCGGTCATGGCGGAGTGGACGAGTTCGGCGCCTGGTTGCTTGTCAGTGGTCTCTTGGTTCTTGGCCCCCTTGTATGTCCAACTATCCATACCAGGCTGTTGCCCTCCGCTTGGGGCCGAAGCCATATCTGGGCGGAATCCATCGTCGTCTGCTTGTTTTGGCTTTGCTGAATCGCCGGTGAGGACATGTTGATCGGCTTGCGCTTCGGCGTAGGAGAAAGCGAGGGCCTGCAAGAGCACTGCAAGTGACGTGTGTTAGTGGGCTACGGTGGGCGTCTTTGCGACATCTCTAGTTGTGATGGGTTGGCTCACGGAATAACCACAGAAAGTACCGCCTCATGGTGGGTTGGTAGTGGTGAAAGTGATATGGAAAGAGTCTGTCATGTCATGGCTCGCCCAGAAAGTCGAAATTCGGGATCGACCAACTTGGTTTGGCGAAAAGTGGTCTGAATGATGTTGTCAGTGTTGATTGTAGGTAAGCTGTCCAGATCCATAACAGCTCCCGTTGTGACAAGGGCCATGTAAGCTGCCCTTGAAGATGCGGCCCAGGTGGCGCCAGCTGCCAAGCCGGTTCATTTGCTGCAAGTCACTTTCCCCAGCAGGTATACTTCTTCAAAGATATCAAACAATTTGAGTTCTCATTTGACTTTTTATGATTTTATTGAGAATATCGTGTTAGAATAAGGTCATTGAATACATATTTTCATCTTGTAGGTTCTGCAAACAGAAAATTGGACTCTCACACAACCTCTCACCCAAGCTTTTGCAACCTGACTAAATTTCTTTTTTGGTCTCACTCACTTACATACACTGCTCACAGGCACCCCGGATACAAAGCTCAACCTCAAAATGTACCAACTCACGGCCGTGGACGGCTACAAATACCCCAAACCAGACACTTATGTTCTGGAAATTCTCCCCATAGCTGCCGGCCTCGCAGCCATTGCTTCAGACCAAACCCTCAGTCTCTTCGACCCCACAAGACTCAACGCCGGCCCTCTCAAGCAAATCACAACCGATCATGGGAACCTCACCTGTGCCAAAGTATACGATCCCGCCGAGTCGATAGTCTGCACCGCAGGTGAGAATGGCACCGTCTCCATCTGGGATTTCAGGATAAATCCCATCAAACCCGCCATGCAAATACGAGGTAAGTCTCTCTCTCACCCACCTTCTTCCTCCCGTCTAAACATATCACTAACCATATACAAGGCAACACCGACCCCATCCCCATCCTCTCCCTAGCCTGTTCCAACCCCACCCACACCCTCGCCGCCGGCACCGAACTAGCCAACCACCAAGCCTCCATCCTCCTCTGGGACCTCCGCTCTTCTCCGTCCTCCCCCAAGATCACCTACACCGAAATCCACTCCGACGACATAACCGAACTCACCTTCCACCCAACAACCCCCAACCTCCTCCTCTCCGGCTCGACCGACGGCCTCCTCTCGATAAGCGACACCCTCATCACCGACGAAGACGACCTCGTCATCACAACCTTCAACCACGGCTCCGTCCACCACGCCGGCTTCCTCAATCAGTCCTCTGAAATCTACGCCGCCTCCCACGACGAAAAGTTCGCCATCTACGACATGTCGGACGGCACCATTGAAAAGGGGGCGGCAGTCTTGGATATGGGGGATATACGAGAGGCGGTGGGGTGTCAGTATCTGGCGAATGTGGTCCCGAAACTTGGGGGTAATAATGGGGCGGTTGTTGGGGTGGGGGCGCAGGAGTAAGTACATACCTTGGGGCTGTAGGTATGGGGAGTGTGCTAACGTGGGAAAACTATATAGTCAAGAACTGTTTCAACTCGTTCATCTCGCCAAGGGAGGGAACGGGCAGTGGGGGTTGGATAGGGAGAGCGTGGTTGCTCTGCCGGGGGCGCACGGGCAGGAGTTGGTGAGGAGTTTTGTTTTTTATGACGAGCAGCAGTTGGTTATCACGGGGGGTGAGGATGGGGCGATTCGGTCTTGGAGGCCGACGTAGACATGATGAAATAGTTCACAGATAATACGAAGAGTTACAGCAACTAGGGATTGGAAAGTGGTAAGATGGTTTGGAAGCGACGATTTGTATTATTCGACTCTCACTCTCTCTCTCTTTCTCTCTCTGCTAAAGAGCCGAGAAATTAAAGGCTAGGCCTGGCGATAGGCTGCTCAACTGAGGACGACGACGACGACGACGACGACGACGACGAAGAAGAAGAAGCTACCGATCTAAAACCCCGAAGGAAAAACACAACCATTTTCAATCAGATCATATCCCTTATTAAATGTGTTTTGTGTATTCGCAGCCCCGCCTGAGCTATTAAACGCCGTGACACCCCCTTCCTTTCCCTATGCCAAATGACCCAAACCAGCCATAAAGACATTCACACTTCCTCTTTCAAGCCAAGGTTTCATCACTCACTGCAGATTCTCAATAACCAAAGCCGAAGCACCGCCACCACCGTTGCAGATGCCAGCAACACCAATCTTGCCCTTCTTCTCCCTCAGGACCGAGGTGAGAGTGGTGACAATACGAGCACCAGAAGCGCCCAAAGGATGGCCGATAGCAACGGAGCCACCAAAGACATTGACCTTTTCGGCGTCAAGACCAAGAAGCTGGATGTTGGCGAGGGCAACAACGGAGAAAGCCTCGTTGATCTCATAGTAGTCGACATCATCAGCAGTAATGCCAGCATGCTTGATAGCCTTGGGGATAGCAAGCGCAGGGGCAATGGTGAAGCGGGCAGGGTCGCGAGCGGCATCGCCCCAACCAAGGATCTTGGCAAGGGGCTTGATGCCGAGCTCCTTGAGCTTGCGCTCAGAGACAAGCACAACAGCGGCAGCGCCGTCGTTGATGGGAGCAGCGTTGGCGGCGGTGACAGTGCCGCCGTTGGGAATAAAGACCGGGCGAACAGTCTTGAGCTTCTCAATGTTGAGGTTCTTGACCTCCTCGTCACGGTCAATCTTGATGGCGGGCTTGCCACGGCCGCCGGGGACCTCGATAGGGGCGATCTCGGTGAAGAGACCGGCCTCGGTGGCGGCCTGGGCCTTTTGGTACGTCTTGATGGCGTACTCGTCCTGGGCCTCGCGGGAGAGGTTGTGTTCCTGGCTGCAGAGCTCGCCCTGCATGCCCATGAGCTCCTGCTTGCCGTAGGCGTCGCGGAGGCCGTCCTTTTGTACGCCGTCGACGAGGCCGGCGTCGCCGTACTTGGTGCCGGTGCGTAGGTTGGGGAGGTAGTGGGGGGTGTTGGACATGGACTCGGTGCCGCCGGCGACGACGATGTCGGCGTTGCCGGTGATGATGGTCTGGGCACCGAGAATGATGGCCTTCAGTCCGGAGGCGCAGACCTTGTTGATGGTTGTGCAGGGGACGGATTCGGAGAGGCCACCGCCGATGGCACACTGGCGGGCTGGGGCTTGGCCGAGGCTGGTTGGGAGGGCATTGTCAGTTTTCTGTTGTTTTTGAATGGTTAAGCAATGACCTACTTGGCAGAGAGGACATTGCCAAAGAAGACCTCCTCCACATCCTCAGGCTTGATCTCGGGCACACGCTCAACCGCAGCTGTTGTTTACCCCCGGATTAGCGAACTGGACCTTGCTCGTTGTGCATGCATGACATTGCGGTGGTCTGACGTCTACATACACTTGATGGCATGGGAACCAAGCTGAATAGCAGTGAGGCCCGAGAGAGAGCTAAAGCAAGGAACGAAAAGGTTAGCTCTCCATCGTCTGAACGAGTCGTTGAACCTGCGGGGACTTTGTTGGGCAGATGTTTGTTTCTGCCCCCCCGCCCCCGATTCATGGTGGGGTACACGTAAAGGGGTTCTCTCACCCGAGGAAGCTCCCTAGGGGAGTGCGCGCAGCGCTGACAATGTAAACAGGAGGAAGGCCGGCCATCTTGAAGGACTGTGTTCGGGATTAGGAAAACTGAAGAATTCGGAGAATTTCGAGAAAGGAGGGGCGGTGATAAGGAGGGGGAGGAAGCTTTGTTTTATGAAATTCCCCAGCGAACTGATGAGATGGATCACACCGCCTAACTGGACCCCCCTTCGACCCCCTTCCCACTCCCCACCATATTTTAATTGGAGAAAGACTCCCCGCGGGGCAACGGTTCCTGAGCCGTTGATTTGCCTCGCATGCACTTAGACTTGTTCGAGAGAGCTACGCGGGCCGCCACCGCCTCGACTTGGAGCCCAACAAAGATCACCACGGAATCATTGTTTTGGCTGATTACTTACCATTGTTCTCGTGGCAGAGCACCAGAGCAGCAGAGGTGGCATGAAAAAGGCTCGTTTCCAACAAGTTCTTGGCCCCTTGCAGCTGGCCGGCGGTACCATGCCATGATCTGCCAGGGACCTCCCTGTCTTTCTTGATCAAAAGATCTGATAAAGATTCTGATCCGATCAGCGGAGCTGTGGGTGAGTTGGACTACGGCGGTACGTAGGTAGATGGCAATGCTGAATTGTGAAGCCAAGACCAGGGTTATGTATGTATAAGAGTATAAAACGTCCAGTTCAACCCCATCACGAAGGAGGTTGAACCTGGGAGTTGTCCTGATCGTATCCAGACTCTAATCGCTGAATTTATCTTGGGCATATTGTTTAAGTATCTTTCTTTTTCAAGTGCTGAGTTGGAAGTTGAACAGTTGTACAGTGAGAATTGATGCCAGCACTGCCCTCGCACAGTAGCGTTCCAAAACAGTTGCCTGCCGGGACTTGGCCTGCGCAGTTGGCTCGTGCGCTGCCAACCATTAATTTTTGGAGACTTGGTGCTGCGAGAAGGCTCGCGACGACGCGACGAGCCTCAATCCAGCCAATTCAACCCCAACTCCCCGATACCCTCAGCAAAAATGGATGACGATCTTTATGACGAGTTTGGAAACTTCATGTACGTTTGTTCTCACTTTCACCCCCGATTTCTCTTCTGCGATTCCCCCCGTCCCCTGTTTACATCTTCATTAATCAATCCCAGTCGCAGCCTCTTGCGATTGCCTGGCACAACTCGATCCATGCTAACTCTACACTCACAGCGGCGAGGCCGAGGCTTCCGAAGAAGAATCCGAACATGGCGTGGATGCGGGCAACTACGCTTACGATGACTATCCTGAGGAGGCACCAGAGGCCACTGGCCAGGAATTGATGGAGATTGACGGTGAGCATCTTCGCCTGTTGTTGTGCTTGGAGGCGCCGAGGGAAGGAAGCTGATATTGGCTACAGATGATGGTCCATCCAACGCCGTGATCCTCCACGAAGACAAGCAGTACTATCCGACGGCAGCCCAGGTGTATGGCGAGGGGGTTGAGACGATGGTTCAGGAGGAGGATGCGCAACCACTAACACAGCCCATCATCGCCCCCGTCGAGCAGAAGAAGTTCAGCATCGAGGAGGCCGACCTTCCACCAGTGTTCTTTGACCGCAGTTTCATGACCGATCTCATGAACTATCCCGAACAGATTCGAAATGTCGCCCTGGCCGGACACCTGCACCACGGAAAGACGGCGTTTATGGATATGCTGGTATTGGAGACGCACAACATCAACGACAGGCTAGAACAGAGGACAGGGAAGAAGCGGGACGAACAACTCAGATATACCGACGTACATGTGCTCGAGCGGGAAAGAGGATTGTCAATCAAGGCGTCGCCCATGAGCTTGGTTCTCCCCAACACCAAGGGCAAGTCCCATCTCGTCAACATTATCGACACACCGGGCCATGTGGATTTCGTCGATGAGGTTGCCGCGGCGTTTCGGCTGGTGGACGGTGTTTGCTTGGTGGTGGATGTGGTGGAGGGCGTTCAGGTCAACACAGAGCAGATCATCAAACATGCCGTTCTCGAGGATATCCCGATCACGTTGATCGTCAACAAGATGGATCGCCTGGTTCTTGAACTGAAGCTGCCACCCAACGACGCCTACTACAAGCTCAAGCACGTCATCGAAGAGGTCAACACTGTTATCGAGAACACGATCCCCGGCAAGGGCGAGTCGAAGAGGGTCAGTCCAGAGAGAGGCAATGTGCTGTTTGCATGCACTTCGATGGGCTGGTGCTTTACCCTGAAGTCGTTCGCCAAGATGTACTCCGACAGCTTCGGAGGCGTCAACGTCGAGGAGTTCGCTAAACGGTTATGGGGTGATGTCTACTTCAACCCACGGAAACGGAGCTTCACAAGGAAACCCGTCGATGAAGGTGCTAAGCGGTCCTTTGTCAACTTCATTCTCGAGCCTATCTACAAGATCTATTCTCACACTATTAGTGAGAGCCCGGAGGATCTCAAGGGTACTCTTGCGAAGCTTGGCATCCAACTCAAGCCTTCCCAGTACAAGACCGATCCCAAGGTTCTGTTGAAGCTGGTTTGCGAGCAGTTCTTTGGGCCATCGACCGGGTTCGTTGATATGGTCTGCGAGCACATTCCTTCTCCAGCTGAGGCGGCCCAGAAGAAGCTCGAGCGCTACTACACCGGTCCTCTCGACACAAAAGTTGCCGAGTCGATGAAGGCTTGCGATCAAAACGGACCTCTGGTCATCTATGTCACAAAGCTGTTCAACACGGCTGATGCCAAGAGCTTCAATGCTTTTGGGAGAGTGATGAGCGGTATTGCTCAGCCAGGGACCGAGGTTCGGGTATTGGGCGAGGGCTACTCGATCGACGACGAGGAAGACATGGTCGTGGCCAGAGTAACCGAGGTCTTCATTGCCGAAACTCGATACAATATCCCGACCGATGGAGTCCCTGCTGGGAACTGGGTCTTGCTGGGCGGCGTTGACAATTCGATCGTGAAGACGGGTACGATTGTCGCCAAGCAGTTCGAGGATGACGAAGACGCCTACATCTTCAAGCCTCTCACTCACCTGACCGAGTCTGTTCTGAAGGTTGCGGTGGAGCCCATCAACCCATCGGAACTGCCAAAGATGCTGGACGGAATTCGAAAGATCAACAAGAGCTATCCTTTGGTGACTACGAAGGTGGAGGAGTCTGGCGAACACATCATTCTCGGAACCGGTGAACTCTACATGGATTGTGTGCTGCACGACTTGCGCCGTCTCTACGCCGACATGGAGGTCAGAGTATCGGATCCCGTCGTCCGATTCTGCGAGACGGTACAGGACATGTCAGCCACCAAGTGCTATGCCATCACACCAAACAAGAAAAACACCATCACCATGGTGGCCGAGCCATTAGATGATGGCATCGCAAAGGACATCGAGTCAGGGGCCGTGAGGATACGGGACCCGCCTCGAAAGACGGCCAAATTCTTCGTCGACAAGTATGACTGGGACCTTTTGGCGGCCAGAAGCATCTGGGCCTTTGGACCGGAAGAGATGGGTCCGAATATTCTCCAAGACGACACATTGCCAGGAGAGGTGAGTTTTTCTTCTTTTTTTTCCTGTCATTATTGCAACACGCCTCCTCCGCGTCATTCACTCCGGCACCCCAGTTTGCCGAGGCTTTTCCCCGGATCGCCCAAATCGGGCCTTTTTCTCCCCCCTTTTACCGCACCACCCAGTAGTAGACTGACAGATCTTTTTTTTCTCTTTCCAGGTCGACAAGAAACGATTAGCCACGGTGAAGGAGTCGATTCGTCAGGGTTTTGCTTGGGCCACCCGAGAAGGCCCACTATGCGAAGAACGTGAGTTTGAAATCCTTTTCGATACGGTTACTACTACCCTTTCTGTTTCATTCCGGTCTTCTTGTGCATATGTTCCTGCAGTGCAGGCAGAAGGGTACAAGCGTACCTATCATTTTTGTGGTGGCCACCCCATGGGGGTTGCCGTGCATGAGGGGGTGTGGCTTTGCCTGGTTTGACCACCTGCTTAAATCAGAATTTCACGGAGGGGATGGAAATGCATGCATGCATGTTATGGACGCCTCCCTGGCAGGACATGGAGAGCTTCTTCCCCAGAGGGTTCCTTGCTTTGCTTTGCCTCGCCTGTTGTTGACAACGGCAGGTATGGAGTGAAGGAATCTGTGGGGGACGGGAAGGGGGGGGTCACCGGGCTGGGAGTCTTGCATGCTTGACAATGGCACAGTCATGCAACCTCATACTTTGTTTCCCGTCATTGACCCTAACCCTTTCCTTCACATGCTAATTTGGTTATCTCCTCAGCAATCCGCAACACCAAGTTCCGCCTCATCGACGTTGCCCTGGCGCAGGAAACCATCTTCCGCGGCGGCGGCCAGATCATCCCCACGGCCCGCAGGGCGTGCTACTCGTCCTTTTTGATGGCCTCCCCCAGGCTGATGGAGCCGCTCTACTCGGTCTCGATGACTGGACCTCAGGACTCGGTGTCGATGGTGTACAACATTTTGGCCAGGAGGAGGGGCCATGTTTTGTCGGACGGGCCCATCGCGGGCACGCCGCTTTATAGGGTCAATGGGTTGATACCGGTGATTGATAGTTTTGGGTTTGAGACGGATCTGAGGATCAACACGCCGGGGCAGGCGATGGTGAGCTTGGTGTTTGACCGGTGGAATATGGTGCCGGGGGATCCGCTGGACAAGGAGCAGGTTACGAGGCCGCTGCAGATGGCAAGCGCGCAGGCGACGGCGAGGGATTTTGTGCTCAAGACTAGGAGGAGGAAGGGGTTGAGTGAGGATGTGAGTGTGGCTAAGTTTTTGGAGAGGGAGTTTTATGAGAGTTTGGTGGGGAGTGGGACTTTGGGGGAGGCTTGAGATTCCCCTTGAGAAGGGTTGGTCTAGGTCAAGGTTTAGAATTGTTGTATTATGTTAGGTATTACGGTGTTTTGTGGGTGGTTCTACCTCTGTATATGGAGACCTGACAATGGGAAAAGTAATTAGAGGGAAGGAAGTGTTATCATCACTTGAATTTCTGCTGGTGATTCTACGAGGTCTGAAGCCTGCCAGTTGCTGCACCAACTCTCACAGCTGGTCTGTCTCGGAGCATCCGACTAAAACAACTCGGTAGTTGGAGGTTGGTCCTCTCCGGGGGTTTTGCTCCTATGAATAGTTCTAGATCTTCTTTGGGGTTGATGTGAGAGTGGAGGTTCGATGTGTTGTTGTGGATGTGTGTGGCGAGTGTCTCCGGGCGGTTATGCAAGGCACGAAAGTGGGAGGGCAATTAATTTATTTGTTGCTTTATCTTCTTCTGTGCACATGGCTGCCGGGTTCCCGGGGGAGAGGTTTGTAAGCAAGCTTTCATAACTACTGCATTCGGGTTTGGTTCTGGTTTCTTTGCTGTGGTGCAGATATTGAATTACTATCTACGGTTTCTTGGTACCTTAAGCATCGAGGAGTCTGTCTTGTTCGTTTCGTGTTGTTATAAACAAGACACACTACATCGGGTTATCAATTCGCATTATCAGGCCCTTTATCGTGGGATATCTGCTTCTCTTTCTATTCCAGAATTTATGCATGGGAGGGGTTTTTATGTTTACTCAACTGGCGTATTGCTTTGTATGTCCCATGTTTTACACATGTGAAGGGGGGGGGGGG